CCTGCAGCACAACAGCATGGGGGAGCTGGCGGAGGGCGACCTGGCTGGGGCAGGGGGGCTGCGCTGGCTCTACCTCGCTGGGAACACCATCGGGCGCATCGCCCCTGCCGCCCTGGCTCCCGCCAAGATGCTGGAGAAGCAGAACTTGGAGGGAAACCTCCTGACAGAGGTGCCCACGGCCTCTCTGCGGGGCCTGCCCGCTCTGAGCGAGCTGAAGCTGTCCCGAAACCCCATCAAGCGCCTGAGGGACAGCGCTTTCCTGCCGGTGGCCTCCAGCCTGCAGCACCTCTACCTGGACAACATGGGCCTACAGCAGGTGAGCAGGCTGGGGACCCCGAGGGGCCGGGGCACTGCGGGGCACAGCTATAGGTCCCATCGTGTTTCAGTGCCCGGGGCTGGTGGCCCCCATAGGGACAGCTGAACGGATGTCCCTGAACTCCCAAGGCTTCAGGAGATGCTCCATAGCCTGTCCAGAAAGAGAGGCTTCCTTGGGCTTGGCTGGAGTGTTGTCTCACTCCAACCTACCCCCCCCACCTCCTGCATGTCACCTTCCCAGGAAGACTGAGCAGGGTCTAGCGAGTCCCAGAATGTGACCAAAACTGGTTAATTAACAGTCCCCAAGCACGTGTGCTGCTCTTTAAAACAGCTCTTTGACGAGGCTGACAGGTTGAGGACAGGCTCTCAGCCCCTCTGGCTGATTAGCAGTGCGGGGGCAGAGATTTGCTCCCCTGGCTCCATCAGGACCCCCCGACTCACCGTCGCTTCGTTGCAGATTTCCCCCAGTGCCTTCGCCGGTCTCGGTCCCAAGATCAGAAGCCTCCACCTGGAGAGCAACAAAATGAGCAATGTCCCCGACATGAGCAACTTCACAGGGCTGGAGATCCTCAACCTGAGGGACGTGCCCTTCCACTGTGACTGCCAGCTCCTTCCCCTGCACAGGTGAGTGCCATGACGGGGAACAGCCCCAGGGGGACAGGTGGACTCTGCCACACCAGAGGCATGAGCCCACGGCACACTGGCATGGAATTTCACCTCCCCCTTCTCCCCATCCCGCTCCTTTCCTTTCCCTGATCTCCTGCCGCATTTCCAGGTGGATCGACAAACTCACCCTCTGCATAGGGGCCCCCTGCGGGTCCCCTGCAGAGGCCCGGGGGCTGAAGGTGAAGCTTTCCACCACTTTCCAAACCTGCGCTGGCTGGGGCCGAGGCAAGGCCGGGGGAGCCAGTCCTGACAAGACCAAGGCCGCAAGCAAGCCCAGCAAGAGATCGGGAAAATCACCGGCCAGAGGCTTCCAGAAGAGCAGAGGGTAGGAAACGTGCGCAGGGTGCAGCAGGGCCCTACCTACAGTCCAGTGAGGGCAGTTTTTCCCGCCTTGTCCCCACCACAGTGACACGGATATTACACAAGCTGCACAGGAGGGAGCCTGGCGCCGCTGAAGTGATGCTGATCTGCCAAAGACTTCTGCAGGACACAGAGGCACATTGCCCTGGAAAGCCAAGGCTCCCTCCAGCCATGCGGAAAACCTGGAATCCACAAGTTTGTTTTTGTTTTTAAGAGCGCTGTGATTTCACAGCTTCAGAAATGCTTGAAGACCCCTGAGCAGGGCTGCAGCCAGCACCGATGCAAGAGCCTGCGCTGGCACAAATCTTAGAGCAGAAAGCTTAAAAATTATCATCAGGGAAAACATTGCCTGAATTCCCAGCAGCTCCTCAGAATTAAAACCTAAGCAGATTTTAAACCTTTCTATTTCCTGCAAAATTTAGTCAGTGGTCCGACCGGTGGACCAGGATCACTGATCCTGAGTGATCCCACCACAAGCAATGTGCCCAACCTATTCCCCATGGCAGCCCAGCTCAGGATCCCCGCAGCCCCAGTTTGAAGTCAGAAGTTTGTTGAAATTGCGGTGGCTTTGAAAGCTGAACGCTTCTATCCATTAAACGACCATGTGGGGCATGGAACCGTGACAGCGAAAAACGAGAGCAAGGAAGCCAAATGTGCTCAGAAGTTGTCATCCTGTAGCGAGAGGTGGCCCTACAAGCCCAGGTGTACCCCTGCTGAGGCTGGGGAAAGGTGGCAGCCCAAGAGGGAGGGGAAGAGAAACGCAGTAGTTCTGCCCCAAAACAGATCCTCCCGCGCTGAGAGATCTATGGCAAGCTGGTGCCAGGCAGCGCTGCCAGGACAGGCTGGGGCAGGGAAGGCCCCATCACAAGCCTTCAATAAAAATCCCACTCCCCTCCCACACTCACCACACCGTGCTCTCCCCAGGGCACCCGGGCTCAGGCAGGGATGGGCCGACGGCTCTCGCGCCTGGTTTGACAGACCCCCCCACACACTTTTTCCACGTGTGTTTCATTGCTCCCCCACAGCCTGTTCTTCCCCCTCCAGTTAACGGCTCCATTTGCCCCTGTAAAACAGACAAGAGGAAGGTGTGTTAATTACTCCCAGTCTCCACCCAGAGTTTTCCAAACAGTTAGCTTGCCAATTTTTTTTTTCATCATGAACCACTGCGCAAAGCGGGAATTATTTTGGCACCACAAGCTCTCACCTGAGAACTCGAGGGGAGCATGGCCAAGGCAGCCATTTGGTGGCCGAGTCTGTGTCCTGGGCAGCCACCATTTCCCTGCAGGGTTTGACAAGGGACTTGCCCTGCAGCCAGCCGGGCCCCGCAGCGGCAGCAACAGGCAGGGCCCTTCCTCACCCACACAAAGCTCACAGGAACATGCTACAGATTTAAAACTGGTTTTTGTCACTGTTGCCATGCTGACCTTTCTGATTTCTGTCCTGAATTTTGATGGCCAGTCTGGGGAAAGAGAGCAATGTCAGTTTTGTTCTACATGGGGAAATGCCATTTCCTGCCTTAAGTCATCTGTGGTTTTTAGCAATATTCAGCAGAACTGGCAAACAGGGGTGAGCCCACTGCACATCTCAAAAATAAAAAACCCCAAATAGCACAAAACGCTGTCTACTTACACCCACTCACTCACTGCCCTCTTCTCCTCCCCATCTGGGCTAACCCTGGTGTTTTGGTGACCCAGAAAACAATACAAAAGCCTTTGGTCTCTTCCTCAACTTTAATTCACAGGGCTTTACGGTAGAGACTGTAGATCAAATTTACAGCAGGACTGCTAAAAAAAACCTAAAAATTCAAACTGCGCACCATGTCCTCTGCAGTTCTGGGTTCAAAAGCAAGAAATTATGACTCAAAAAGGTCTCTTGCACCCTCGAGGGGCATCACCATCCCTTCTTGGGTTTTTTTTTTTCCTCCTTCCACTCTTCCTGTCCTGACTTTCTTGGGGGTTGCGGGGCCTAGACCAGGGAGCGCAGCACCACTGTCCTATGAGGGCAGCCGATTTCCTGATGCGTGTGACCAGCGCACATCATCTCAGGCTGCAGCTCGCCACTTCCAGCCACGGCCAAGAACCCAAACTGCCCTGTCGTGCTCTGCCAGCCTCTCTTCCCCTTGGGAGCCCCTGCCCAGAAAGGTGCCATCAAAGCCAGGCGCACACAGCCCCAGCAGCCACCCTGGTCATGCTCCTCAGCATGCCTGCGGCCTTTCTGGAGTCTTTCCCAGGGCTTAAAATTACAAATCTGGGGGAAATCTTCTTGCACACCATGAAAGCAGAGTTATGATGTAGCGGGGTGGTCCGCCTCAAAAAGGGAAGGCCTCTTTAGTCTTCCACTTCCCTTTGCCAGGGCTTTCCCCAAGAGTCACAAGGTGAAGCGGAGGCTGCTGCGGGCAGCTGGGGAATACTCCAGGGTTAGTCTGTGACCTCCTGCTTTATGCTGCTGATGGGAACGGGAAGCTCTGTGGCTTCAAACTCTGCTACCGAGGGGTCGATGGTTTCTTCTTTCACCTGCACGGCAATGACTAGCAAGAGACAGGAACAGAGAGGGAAAAATATTTAAGTAAAACCAATCCACGCTGCATCGCTCCACCTGCGACACCCCAGAGCCAGCTCTGTTCAGGCAGATACTCAAAATGCCCCAGGTTTCCAGCTTGCTTGCCGAGAGGCCCTTACCACAGGCAGCTGCATCTTGCTGGCACAAATCTGTCCATGGTCACTGCAGCAAACAGGATGGGACTAAACCCTGGCAGTGTTCAGCTGCCTGCTCCCAAGAACAACTTCTCCTAGGGCCAAGGGAGGAAAAGCCAGTGGGCTCCATTCTCTACCTGCCTGGATCCATAGGGGGAGACGAAACATCTATAAGGAACGTGGACCTTCGTGAGGTACAACAAGCACCTTGCCCACCCTCTTCCCCAACACCCACTAGGGCTGGCAGGTGACCCAGCTGCCAGATCCTCTTCCGATCACCACATCTCTTGGTGCTCAGCACAACAGGCTGTGTTCGCACGCTGCAACAGCCCTTAGGGGGACCGGGATGTGACAGCACACTTGTGACATCTCTGTCTTGACCCTCCTCCCTAACTGACCTCGCACAACCAGACTGCTCCGTAGGGCAGCCAGGCCCTCAGCAGCATCATGACACCCAGCTGCACCTCCTCCGGAGGCAAACCTTCCCAGGGGAAGGCGGCAAAGGCTTTCTTCCACTCTCTCTGTCTCCGGAAGAGTGGGGAAGGACATTCATCAGGCACTGCCCTTCCCTGCCCAGGGGCACCCACGAGCCAACCCAGGCCTCGGCAGGGCCGGTGGCGTGGAGGGCAGATGCCAGGGCGCTGCACGTGGCTCTGGGGCAGAGTCACTCCCTTACTCTCATCAGGCGCTGGCTCTGGCACAGCCTTGCTGGCAGCTTTGGCTTCTCGTTTCACCTTCGCGGCGGAAGGCTTCTTGACAGTCTGCTTGACGTTGCGGGCTTTGGCAGGTAACTTTTTTCCTTAACAAAGAGATAACAGAGCATGGGAAAAAGTGTGTTTCCTTCCCCCTGGAAAGCCAGCCACCCTGCTCCACTGAGAAACCACGGCCAGGGACCAGCACAACTGACCAGCAAGCTACATGGTCATTAGCTGCCAACTGGTTACTTGACAGAAATGGCCTACTGGAGAAAAACTCTACGGTCATCGTCTCAAAACATGCTCCTCCGCGTTCTCCTTCATTAAAGGCAAGGCACTCCAGCGTGTGCTTAACTTCCGAGGAGCAGGTCCTGTTGGAATCAGTCTGGAGTCGGCTTTGCTTACCTGTCTGGGTCTAGTCCTAGGCACTGGGCATGTTGGCTCCAAGGCACGGACATTGTAGCATTAATATTTTCATTTTTAGTTGACGTTTTTACTTAGGTTGAACGTCTTTATACTCTTTACATGTCCTTTCCTTTCCTCTCCACCCCCAAGGAAGGAATTTCTTCCCTGTCTATGCATGATTTGCCACAGCTACTGCAACAATGACGACAACAATGACAAGATGAAACGATAGCATGGTCCAGCCCCACTAGCTGCCTCTGCAGCCACCTGACGGACGCCTTCCCCTCCACACAAAGCAGGCAGGGCTGCTCTCCAGCTACCCTCCGGCCGCAGCACACCGTCTCCCCTCCGACCAGACACAGCAGGGAAAGCAGCACAACCTCACGCCTGGAAGCAAGTGCCATCTATACCTTGGCCAACAGAGAACAGCCTGCCAGACAGATCAGATCCTTCCCACACAGAGAGCTCTCTGCTCTTTGAGGGCTGTTCAGAAGGATGACGCTGTGTTGCCAAACCCACAGCTGACCGAGGGCATCCACAGCAAGACAAGGCCTCTCTCTCCTGTTCTCACGGGACATGGACAGGGTTCCCCTAACTGGGCCCAGCCTGCGAGCGAGCGGGAGGGCACTAATCAAACATCACTCACTCTTCTTTCCATAGGGTTTCTTCTTCTTCTTGGGCACCTCCTTGGCCTTCACTGGAGTTGTGGGCTCTGTCATGGAGACGAGAGGGAAACGAAAGCCAAGTCCCATAACCAGTAGGTAACTGGGATGAAGTGACATAAGTGAGAAACAAGATACACCCGTCCCCCCGAGCCAACGCCCTCTTCCCGAGACAACCAGCTGAGGGGCAAGCACGGCTCTAGCGCAGTTGCTGTCTGTGCTTCCAGGCGAGGGCCCAGGGTGGCAGGCTGGGGCAGCACAGGGAGAGAGGCCCAGGAGAGATTTGGCAGGGGCAGCAAAGAAACAAGAGTCGTAGCTCAGGACAAGAAGGAAAACATCTGCAAAGGCGAGGCAGTGGCCTCCCTGTGACAAGGGAAGGATTAAACTCTGGAGAGGGATGCTCTTACCTTTTACAGACAGAGTCAGAGAGTTGATGAGAAAAGGGAGCGGGGCAGAGCTCCCCCTGCTACCTGGCTGAGGCTGTGGGTACGCTTAGTAAAGAGGGGCCAGGACC